AGCAGCACCTTTTGCGCTGACTTCCAAAACCACAAATCCAACTAGATATCGACTTCCAGACTGTTGTTGGTAATCTGTGTCCAGTTTGCTCCATCATTGAATTGTTGCCCCCTGTTAAGAAATTATATCGAGAATATGCTTTTCGACAGGTAACCCAACCGAAAAGTCTTAATTCATCCGTTAAGTAGGTCACCTCTACTGTTTTTATTCTTCCGTTTTCTTCCCCATTTAGTCAGTTCCTATTTCTCCAGCACCCTATAATTAGTACGTGCTGTTAGTAAAAATGACTTATTGGTATCAGTTTGGCTGTAGTATGGCGTTGCCTGATTCAGTAATTCGCGGAATCGCACAGAAGAATAATCAGCTTTCAAGTAAATGGATTTGAGAGGAAACAACCATCTAGGAAAATTGCAAATACATCGTAGAGTCTCTGATAAGTTTACATATTAATATTCTGCGGGATCAGCAACTTAAGTTTCAGGACTGCATTAGACGGCACAGGGCACAACCGAGGAACTGAAATACTCGCATTTGCGCCGTGTAAAGACAGAAGCGTAGAAGAAGCACACGCCTCGATTTTTGATTGGTACCTGTTGAAAGTGTGCTAGAAACTAACATATTAAAGTAGCCCCACTTGTCCGTCGAATGCTGATTACATGGTTATTCCAAAGGAGACGATTGCGATTGATGTATATTTTATCACAATGTCGAAGCCGACTCCCAAAATGCGTTTTCCTGATGTTTAAATCTCATTCCTTAATTATTTTTACGAAACTACCACTTCGGCACTTAGGTTTGCTGTTCATATAAACGAACAAGAACTGGGTAAAAGGCGACAGCGACTAGATGAAGTTTTCCTGTGGCTGTTCACCCGACTTCTCCACGACAAATTTAGATTTCATTCGCATAAGGATCATAGACCAATCGGATGGCCGGACTTAGAACCTGCTGCTGGAGGCGTGTCAGTCAGCCGACGATCCGGTTCTAAGCGTACTGATTCAGGTCTTAAGCCAACAAATAAGTGGCATAATTAGGAAATCTGTGGTTGCCCTTTGCCAGACATTTATTTATCCACAACTCTGTCATACTTTTATTTCTACACAGCTATCTGCACTGATTCTATTTGTTACGCCCTGCCTTAGCTTACATTTATCTCGATTTGTTTAAGTTCGTGTATTAACTTACGCGGACAACTTAAACTGGTGTGCGTTGCGGTATCAATAGCTGATATGTGACTCACTGCCTTTTTTGCTTGGTTGGTTTAGACAGCTTATTTCGTTATAGCGTGACTGTCTTGCTCGGTTCACCTTGGCTTGTTCTTAGCGTGGGATCGTGGTATCGATCGCTGGCACTCGCTAAAGATTCTCATGGTAAAGGGGGATTTAAATACATAAATGACAGTTTATTTCCCTTATCTTCGAGGGTGCGCTAGCGTGAAAGTTCGATAAATGAAAGTCAGATAAATGAACAATCGATGCGTAGGCTAGTCTCTCTTCTCTGTCTATTCATGTAGGTCGGCATTATTAAAGTAGGGGACGCCTCTCTTTGAACGTGAATCGAAATCCGGATAGGTATTTTTGGACTAAACCGGATTGCGTAACACTATCATATAGCATACACTCGATATATTTTAGTCCCGCCAGGATTCCGGCTGTCGAATGCGCACTTTATTCGGAGCGCTTATGAAGATCACACCTACTCAAAAAATACGTAGATAGTACGGATTTCTTTTCCAGTGATTTGAGATGTCCATATAAATTCAAACGGATTTTATAGAGCACGTGCGCTAAATATTCTCCCACGTAGCCCTTTAGTAGCAACTTATGTTTGCTTCAAATCTTTATGTTTATCA